GAGGAAGTTCTATACGACAGCTATGAACCAGCTTTACTTATGGCGCAAATTGTTGGGCAGTCACGAAACAACATACCTATAAGATAAATATAATTGAGATGAGGATGTTGAGATAGATGAGTGACAAAACAAGAAGGGATAACATTTGAAATGAATGTATTCGGGAGAACTAAGGTGTGACTCCATTAGACGATAAGATGATATAAAGTAAACTTAGGTGGGCTAGTCATGTGCAGCGTAGACCCAATACAACACGTAATAGGAAGTGCAAGTTGGTTCAAGTGGAAGGCTCAAGAAGTCAAGTAGTAGGCCCAAAAGGATATGGTTGGAAGTGGTGAGAAATATATTGGGACTTATGGCCTCACTAAGAGTATGGCCTTTAGTAGAACAGAATAGCAAACTAGCATTCATGTAGCCGATCCCAAATAGTTGGAAAAAATACTCTAATGATGATACTGATAATATTTCATAATGCCTACTAAAGTTCTCATGAAATTGTTCATTTTCTCTTTTATAATATTAAATAAAATAATTAATCAATATTTTTCATCATCATAAAAAAATTAAAGATTTTTATTGCATATTTCCACAATTATTTAGGCGATCACTTATTTCATTCATATATACAATGCACGTGATCCAACTAGCAAATACTATTGGAGACTTTTTTGGATTCATCACCAATGGGACCAAAAGAACAATTTGGTCCAATGTTTTCCTTTAGAGAAAAATTTAGTCAATAAGAGTATCATTTTGTAAGTGTGCTTTGGTTCAAGTGGAAAGCTCTAAAAGAGCAAGGGGAAGAGCCCAAAAGGGAATTACTAGAAGTAGTGATAAAATATATAGTAATGTTTGAACCCTTAATAGAGAAAAACAGAGGAACAAGATATTTATGCAGCCGGCCCCTGATCATTGGGATAAGGCTTGGATGATAATAATGATGATAATGTTTATAACTCATACTTCCATACTATAAAGTTCATACGAAACAAGATTTTTTGTTGATAGGAACACGAAACAAGATCTTCCCACATGAAATCTTCTCACACTAATCATCGCTCTCTCTGTCGCAAAACTTGCTTATCCAAAAAAGTTAAGAATATGAAAAGGAAAATTGTTTCATATGGGCTGGGCCGAATTTCTACAGTATGCAGTCCCAAGATATAAAGCATTAAGATGGATGCAAATAGGTGGTCCATCTAAAAACAATTGAAACAAATGGCTCAAATGTTTTCTTAATAAAATTATTATTTTTAATTTTCAAAGTTTATTTATTTTTTCGTATTCATGATCTCCAAGTTAGAGATTGCATGTCCTTTAAAATTAAGTCGAAAAAATCCATCTCAAAAATAGATTTTTAAGAGGTTACTCAATTCTACATGGACTCATAGAAATCGTGTCCACATGAAAATCTAAGAGATAAGGGCATTAAAGAACATCGCTTCATTAACAAATGCTACAATTTCTAGTTGACAGCATGAGAAACACACAAGCGATTCAGACACTTTTAATTTAAGACGTCCACTTCTTAGAAGTTTAGGGTTGTGTCATTTTCCAAAGGCCAATGAGAAACATGTAGTGCTACGATTTTTAGTTGACAACATGAGAAACACACAAGCGATACTAGACACTTTTAATTTAAGAGGTTCACTTATTAGAAGTTTAGGGTTGTGTAATTTTCCAAGGGCCAATTAGACACACATGCAAGCCTTATTTCCAAGGACCAAGGGCCTATTCATTCTAATCACAATTCAGACATGGTACAAGGAAATGAGACATGGGTTGGAAATTTTGTTGAGAATGGTTCACTAACTGCACATTTATTAAGCCATTGGTTCACACACGTACAAGAGAGGGGCTCAAACATCTACCCTGATATCGTCACATTAATGGAAGTTGAATTGGTAAAATGAGGTAAAACAGATGTATTGGTTAGGGCAAAAGGCCCTCTTAGGAGAGATTGTTTGTATGAAAGGCCCCTTAAGAGGGATTGTTTGTATGAAAAAGCATACAATGAGACCATTTCTCTTTATTACAGGGTGATCATAATTAATCTTGATCATTAAGTGTGAAATTGGATAGTTGTATTTATTCTTGATCATGCATAAATTTCAAAAGAAAATTTTTCGAACTTATTGACACACCCAAGCTATCAGATTTCACATCAGATTGTGACCTCCTTGTGTCAAAAGTAAATAGCTAATTGTATACAATCCCTTTTTGTAATTGAAATTTTCGGATCTACAATTATAGGATGAGTATTTTCTTGAACAATTTTTTTTTTTTTGAATTAACTACTTGATTGCAAAAAAATTTGATGTTCTCTAGTCAACATTGGGATGAAGTCCTTTTCAGGTAGATTAGGGTTCAATTCTAGGATGTGAATGTTTATTTTTTTGGTCGAATTTTTTAGGTTAGTAGCTAGGTTGAAGAGTGTGCATCCCCAACATTTGGGGTGCTAAAAATACTCTTAGCTAGGGTTTAACCTAAGCGAGCATATGTATAATCCGCTCCGAGCTGAGCATAGATTCTTTCGACTGTATATTTTCTTTTATCTCCACACAAATTTAAGGGCATGTTTGTTTTGTAGAATGAACTTTATAAGAAAGCCGTCTTTTATGGGAAAACGGTAGAACACTATAGAGTTTGGGAAAGGTCATTCCTAGGCTATATTTATTTTTTTATTTTTTGATAGAAAAACAGCTTCATATTTATCTCAAGACCTCAATACCCCTTTTAAACAAATCAAACGTGCCCAGAGAGAGGGACGAATAAAGGGAACAAACAAACACACCGTTAAAGTGGAGAGAGAAAGAGTACATAAAGGAAAAAGTCTATTATAGGTTGCAACCTTAAAATGTAAAAAAAGAGGCACACCTCAAAAAACCATAAAAAAAAATTTGTTGTTTCTAAACCCTCTATTTGATACTCTTGAACCTTGATATGTACAGATGTAGAAAAAATAGAGATTTTAAAATGTAAAAAATGGTACATCTTGTAATACATTATCTAGACCATTCATTCTCAAGATTTTTATGTATTTTTGGATCTGTAATATTTTTTGAATTTTAAATTTCATAATTAGATATAAATTAGTTTTTTAGGTAATTATTAAAATTGTCGATACTAAAATTACATCTCTCGATGTGCTTTTTGGTGCTGCGCGTTAAGTGGATTGTTTAAGTGTGACCTTATGCAAACACAAACCACAACCTTAGATAAAAGATGCTACGCAACCCTCATTAAGTTGTTAATGAATGTGGACCAATGTGGAAGGAAACTATGTAAATATTTATACATGAATTTTTCTTAGCAAATTATGGATGAGACAGATAATGCTGTGTGCTCACGAAGTGATAGCGGAAGAGAGAAGGACCAAGTGTCATAAGGGCTGGCAGATAGCCAGGCCTTACCCTAACGAAGTCGGGCCTAGCCAAGAAACTGTGAGCCGAGGGTTGGGCTAGGGCCAAGGGTTTGCCCCCACCCTTAAGGGTGGCAACGGGTCAGATCCGGCTGGGCCTGGACTTGGAACCGAATAGTATTCAGGTCCAAAATTTAGACATGTACCTAGACCTATTGGATCCCGGGTCTGTTGCCACCCTATGCCTACGAGCTTATTCATTATTTTTTTTGACCTTTTTTTTATCATCATATACCTTATGACTATGAGTTTCGTTTTTTTTGTCAATAATAATATAAATGTTGTCAATATTGTGACAATATGAACACTTAGCACACGTTTAAAGACACATCATATACGCTATGACTACGGTTATGGGTTGCGTTTGACTGGACCACGACCTGGACCCAAATAATAGTCAGATCCAAAATTTGAACCCATACCCAAATCCATGGTCAGGTATACCCGTCGGGTCCAGGTCTAGTTGGGTCCATTGCCACCCCTACTTGGCATGTTGCCACATTGTTGTATAAACAAATGTGAAAGTTAGGACTTGGGCTGGGTGAGTAGGTTAAGGTGTGAACTGCCAAAGAATTAAGATAAGAGAGAGGGAAGAATTCAAGAGTGATTTCTTCGAGGCCACGTCTCATGCATATTAGTTTGGGAAAATTACAAAAACCTCTCTAATAGACACCATCTATTCAAATTACCTCGATCCAATTTTATTCTCTCACTTTTTTCCCATTAACAACTTATCTTCGTAAAATCCCCCCAACCCAAAAATAACTAAAAAGAAGTTTAAAATACTCTTTTTCACGTGCTTTCTCTCTCTCTTCGGCAACGAAGACAACGCACTCCAGCGATACGAAAACTCACTCCGGGAGTAGACCTTCTGGAGCCAGGGCACTCGGGCGGTTGATTACGTCGCTCCAGTGGTACAAAAATACGCTTCGGCGATACAGACAGTGGCTCCGACAGCACACCTTCTGGAGCCACAGCGCTTCGGCAGTGTGGTAGTTTGCTCCAGCAATTAACGAATTTGCTCTGGCATCACATGATTTCGCTCTAGCAGTACACCTTTTGGAGACATTTCGCTGTGGCACTCTATGAATGCGCTCCGGCAATAGGGTCGCTGAAGCCACTGTGCTCTGGCAGTGCATTAGGGCGCTTTGGCAGGGTTTCAGCACTCCGACGGTAGATGAAAGCGCTCTGGCAGTACACCTTCTGGAGCCACAGCGCTCTGGTAGTATCTATTCCGATCCGGCAATCATTACAAAGCGCTCCGACAGTTTTATTCTATGCTCCGGCAATATGCAACTTGGGACTGCCGGTTGAATTTTTTTGTATGGGAGGGTATTTTCGTTCAAAAAATAATTTTTTACCTTGGAGTTTTTTTGTGAGAAAAAGTTATTCTGGAAAAAAAAAATGGGAGAAAAAATTGTCTAGAGGTAAGTTGCGTAAATAATACATTTTGGAGGTTTTTTTTGTAATTTTCCCTGATATTTTCCTTCGACCCCAAACCCCTGTTAAAGCCCCCTATAACCCGGCATTAACAAGAATTCTTGAAGATTAGAGTTTTAGAGAGAGAAAGAACTTTGGTCTAGAAAATGATAAGACTCAAGTTAGAGAGAGAAGTAAAGACTTGTGTGCCTGCACAATTTGGCGGGCTCTGCTGTCCCCGCCAAACTTGGCGACTAGAAAGCTGCCCCATCCATAGGGCTTAAAACCCCCAACAAACTACACTGGATTTCACCCTTTCTCTCTCTACTCCCTACCCTCCTCTGTGTATCCATGGCTCAAGAGCCACCAGAGCTATTTTGAGTCACCTCCCCTCCCCCCCCCCCAAGTTGCAAAAATGGAGGACTCTCTCTCCATTTACAGTCTCCTGTGTGCTGAGGGTTGCACAAGCTTAGATGATAGTAAGGGTGGGGTCTCTGAGATCAACTCATCCTTTTCTTTAGATTCAGAGGATGAGTATATATGGTCACTTGTAGAGAGAGAAAGTAGTTTCCATGGCTCTGATGCTTGTTCTATAGAAGGAGGGGGTTGGGATGAATGTGCTCGCAGAGATGTTATTCGATGGATTGCAAAAGTGGGTTTTTTTTTAAGTCTTTGTAGTTGTCTTAGACATGGGTTTTTCAGATGTTTCCTCTCTTTCTCTCTCTAATACGTTTGCAGTTTGAACCAGGTTAGGATGTTCTACAACTTTGGGTACCACACGGCCTTTCTCTCTCTAAACTATCTGGATCGGGTCCTTGCAAGATGCCCAGCGATTGTGCGTAAAACTCTCACAGAATATACAATGACTGTTTTCTTTGTTTTGAAAGTTTTTATCTCTGATTCACCATGACTGATTGGGCTTTTTATTCTAGAGAGAGAAAGATTGGGCGATTCATCTATCAGCTGTTGCGTGCTTATCTCTTGCCGCAAAAATGGAGGAACTTGTTGTCCCTCGGCTTCTGGATTTACAGGTTGAAAACCCCAAGTTTATGTTTGAACCCAAGCTGGTTCAGAGGATGGAGCTATTGGTATTGGATACATTGGCTTGGAGACTGAATGTTGTGACCCCTTTCTCTTTCTTAAAGTTTTTCATGACGAGATTGTGCCATTCTCAAAATCCTAAGTCTCTGATGTCGAGATCCATCGACCTCATATTGACCACATCAGAAGGTATACATTCTAAAAACCAATCAAAAGAAACAGAGGAATCTCTCTCTCTCTCTCTCTCT